TTAATAGTGATTTTTTTCTAAACTTTAATTTCCAAATCTTCACTGCTAGTGTATCGAAATATGATTTATTTTATATTGGTCTTATATCCTGAAATCTTACTAAACACATTAGTTGAAATGACATTTTGATAGATTTCATGTAATTTTCTAAATTGACAATTATGTTGTCTATTAATAAAGACAGTCTTACCTCTTCCTCTCCAATTTAGATGCCTTTAATTTCTTTTTCTTCCCTTATTATACTGGTTACAACATTCAGTATGATGTTGAATAGGAGTGAGAGTGGACATCCTTGCTTTGCTTTTATCTTAGGGGGAAAGAATTCAGTTTTTCACCATTAAGTATGATGTTAGCTGTACGTTTTTTGGTAGATGCCCTCTATTAAGTCGAGGAAGTTCCTTCTAGTCTTAGTTTGCTGAGAATTTTGGTGAGAAATGGATGTTGTATTTAGTCAAATGCATTTACTGCATCTATTGAGATGATAATGTAGTTTTGTTTTAGTATGGTATGTATATTAATTTTCTAGGGCTGCTATAGCAAAGTACCACAAGCTGGTGGCTTAAAAGAACAGAAATTTATTTTGTCCCTGTTCTGGAGGCTAGAGGTCCAAATCAAGGTGTCAGCAGGGCCATTCTCCTTCTAAGACTCTGGGTAAAATAATTTCTTGCTTCTTTTTAACTTCTGGCGGTGGCTGTCAATTCTTGGCATTCTTTAGCTTGCAGCTGCATCACTGTAATCTCTGCCTCTGCCTCTGTTATCATATGGTGTTTTCCCTCTGTGTCTCTGTCTTAACATAGAGTTTTTCTCTTCTTACAAGGACAGCAGTCATATTGGATTATGGCCCACCCTAATGACCTAATCCAAAATTGTTAACATCTCTAAAGACTTTATTTTCTAATGAGATTACATTCACAGGTACCAGGGATTAGGACTTCAATATATCTTTTTGGGGAACACAGTTCAACCCATAACATATGGTAAATTACATTGATAGATTTTTTTCAAGTGTCAACCAACCCTGCATCCTTGGGATAAACCACTTGGCTTGGCCATGATAGATTATCCTTTTTATAGATTATTAGATTTGATTGGCTAAAATTTTATCGAGAAATTTGCATCTATGTTCATGAAAGATAGTGGTCTGTAGTTTTGTTTTTCCTTCTCTTTTAATTGGTCTTTCTTTGGTTTTGGCATCAGAATAATCCTAACTTTATAGAAATAATTGGGAAATATTCCCTCTTCATTTTTTTCTGGATAGTGAGTGTGGGATTGCTATTATTTCTTATTGTTTCCTTAAATGTTTCACAGGATTCACCAGTGAAACCATATGGGTCATGAGTTTTCTTTGTGGGAAGCTTTTAAGCTACAAATTTAATTTCTTTAATAGATATATGGCTATTTAAATTACCTATTTCTTCTTGAGTAAGCTTTAGTAGTGTCTTTCAAGGAACTTGTCCATTTTATGTAAGTTGTCAAATTTATTGGCATAAAATTGTTTATTATTCTTTTTACATCTTCTTACTCCATAGTGATGCTACCTCTCATTCTTGCTAATAGCAATTTGATTCTTCTGTCTTATTTACTTATTTCAGGCTGGCTAGAGGTTTATAAATTTTAATGATCTCAAAGAACCCAATTTTGGATTCATTGGTTTTCTGTTATCTATTTCATTGCTTTTGGTTCTTTAAAAATTTTTTAAATTTCTGTTTTTCTGCTTTGGGTTTCATTTACTCTTAAGGTAGAACAGGATATCATTAAGACCTTTCTTTTAAAAATATTTTAGGATTCTAAATTTCCCTCTAAGTGCTGCTTTAGCTTTATCCCTCTGGAATTTATATGATGTTTTCATTTTTATTCACTTTCAAATTCTAATATCCCATTTGAGTTCTTAGGTAACCATGCGTTATTTAAAAGTATATAATTTAGTTTCCAAATACTTGGGGATTTTACATACATTTGTCATTGATTTCTAATTTAATTTTATTGTGCTCAGAGAACATACTTTGTATAATTAAAAAAAACCAAAAACCAACAGGTATAATTTGTATAGTGTGAATCTTTTACAATTGATTGAGACTTGTTTTAGCGTATGGTTTATCTTGATAAATGTTCCCTGTGCACTTGAAAAAAAAGTTTCTGTTGTTATTGAGTGGACTATTCTATAAATGTAGTTCGGTTAAGTTGGTTGATGGCACTGTTCAAGTCTTCCATATTCTTACTGATGATCTCTCTCCTTATTCTATCAATTATTAAGTGAGACAGATATTAAAATCTGACTATAATTATGAATTTGTCTATTTCTCCTTGTAGTCATATCAATTTTGCTTCATATATTTTGAAACTCTTATTAAATGCAAAAACTTTCAGGCTTGTATGTTCAATTATCCCTGGTAATATTCTTTGCTCTGAAATCTTTGTCTGATATTAATATAGCTCAGAATATTTAAAATTTTAATAGAAATTGCCAAACTTCTTCTCAAAAATCAGTGTCATTAGATGAGGTTATTCCTCATTTTGGTCCACATTTATTGTGGTTTTGATGTAAACTTTCCTGTAAATATGTGATGTTTCTTTTCAGTTTGTGATGAGATAATACTCTTGCCATGCCTCTGGTTCTCCTTCTGCGCAATGGTGGCAGTCAATAGCAGCTCCGCCATTTTGTGTGTGTGTGGGAGTACAGGCCAGGGGTTAGTCAAGGGGTTAAAGGAACACAAAATTTAGAAAAGACAAATGAGCAGTACTTTCATTGTCAAAGAAGGTGGTAGGTAGGGGGCGCCTGGCTGCTTTAAGACAGTTGAAGGTATCAGCACCATATGAATTAGATCTCATGGCAGTTAACTTGTGACCTCAGTTATTATTAATAATTTTTAAGAAATGGGGTCTGAGGGCCGGCCGAGTGGCATGTTGGTTAAGAGCTGGCTTGGGACGCCGGCTCTGAGCAGCAGGGTCCTGGTTCGGATCCCACTTAAGGGCCAGTGACACTGCCCTCTACAGCTAAGATGGTGAGCAACAGCTCGACCTGGACCTGGGCTGCCTTTAGTCTCTGGCGACAGCGTAGGCTGCAGCCCCTGCTGCAGTCAGCTGCTGTAAGCTACCATGAGTGACTGGTAGCCAGTGTGAGCCGCCAGCAGCTGGTGTGAGCTGCCAAGAGCCACCATGAAGGGCCGTCCAGAGGCCAGTGACTGATCTGCCTCACCTGGGAAGAGCGCAATGATAATACCAACATGGGCCAGTGAAGCGACGTCCTCCACAACTAGACTGAAGAACAAAAGGACAGCAACTTGTCTGTTCCCCTTCCCTTGATTCCCCAGTGCTGTTCTCCTCCTCCAATTCCCCAATAAAATCTGAAAAAAAAGAAAAAAAAGAAAAAAGAAATGGGGTCTGATAGATATATCAAAGATTGGAGACAGGTAATTGTACTTACATTTTTAACGGATAAAAAAACCAAACCAAACAAAAACCATTTGTGACATCCAGTAAAGGAAGTGATGAGTACAAGGAGCCAGAAAGGGTTCACTAAAAACGTGTTTAATTCACTCTATTTGCTGTTAGGCTTACCCAGTGGGTAGATCTGGAAAGGTCCCAGGTGCTTTGACCCAGAGCGAGGTGGAACTAAATAGGCTGCCAGAGACAAACAGATGCGGAAGATTCTGGCTGGTGGGTAGCAGGCCATCAACTTTCGACTAGGAACAGGTTTTTCTATCAGGTGTGTTTAACACATTAGGTCCCGCCCTAGCCTCGCCAGCTGCCTGGATGAGGCAGTAGCAACACCCCCCAGCTCACCACATTAAGTACTCTGGTCTAAAGAGCCTGTTTTGTAGGCTCTCTAGTCACTAGAACTATAAACAGAACACTGGCTAATTATTGTTTAATTATTGCTTAAAAACCAATTGGCACAATACAATCACTGCATTAATTACCCCATACAGCATCTGCTTTCTCTTTTGCCGTCATCCCCATTCCTCCCCAGCCCCTCTCCCACGTTAATTGAAATTCAGCTTGCTGTAACACCTTCTTTCTCCTGGCCAACTGGATCTCTCTCTCCACGGACACAAGGGAGGAGAACAAAACAGAGAAAGCCCCAGGGATTAGGGAGTTTTGACAACTGTCCAAGAGAAGCGCTGAGCTCCGGGCCAAGTACCGAGGCACCACAGAGGCGAGCGAGAGACAGCCGAGTGACAGAGGGAGGGAGGGAGACGCAGGAAGACATCGCAAGAGGAATGAACTGAACCAAGAGTCACAGAGGCAGAGAGATGCTTAAAGAGGCACCGAAAAGCGGAAAAAGGAAGGGAATAGCTAAAAAGGAAAGGAACTATGGGGAGATGGTGAGGAAGATGCGAGAGGCTCAGGAGGGGAGGAAGGCAGGAGAGAGCTTGTCAGGAGGAGGAGGAAAAAGTGCAGCCTCTAGGGACGGGTCCGTGTAGCCTGGGGACGGGTCTGGAGCAGGCAGACTAGCAGTTTGGGGTTCCCCCTCACACACCTGGGGCCCGCAGCACCGACAGCGCGAGGGGCGAGGCTGGACGCGCAGCGCCGGGGCGGCAGAGCCCGGGGCGAGCCCGGCGTGCGCCCGGCGGCCCCGCCCCCTCCTCGGCCGCCTCCTTCGCGGGGCTTTTCCTGCGGGGCTCAGGAAGCCGGCCTAGCCTCGCCGCGAACAATAGCTCGGGGCCGGCTCTCGGCTCTCGGCTCCCGACTCCCGGAGAGGCCGGCGCCGGGCCGCGGAGGGGAGGGCGGCGTCCGCGCCGCCGGGGGTCCGCCGCGAATCCCCAGCCCCGGCCGGGGCTTCGGCGGAGCTCGGCGCTGCCGGGGTCATTGTTGGCGGGGACCGAGGCGCGGGAGCCGGGGGGAGGAGCTGGGGTGGCGGCGGAGGCGGCTGGAGCCAGAGGGGGAGCCAGAGAGCGAGGGAGGGAGGCCGCGAGCGAGCGGGCGAGCGAGCGAGCGAGGGGAGGAGGTAGAGAGACAGGGAGGGTGGGAGGGAGGAGGAAAAATAAAGAGGAGCGCCGAGCAGGGCTGAACAATAGAGACAGGCAGACGGGCGAGGAGGAGAGCCGGCTGCCGCGGCTGGGCTCGGAGAGCGGGCGCCCAGGCAGCCCGGACCCGGGACCCGGGCCCCGGCCCGACAGCAGGCGGCCAGCGCCCCCAGGGAAGGGGGACCATGGGGGAGCCGGCGGCAGGCGCCCCCGGCCAGCCGCGCGCCTCCGCCTGAGGGCGGCTTGACGGACTCTGCCCCAGCCTGGCCGCTCCAGCCGCCAGCCCTCGAAGCCCGGAGTCCGCCGGCTCTGCGGCCGCGGCCGCTGCGCCCCGCGCCCTCCGCCCACCCGGCGCCGAACAGCCCACACGGCCCCAGGCTTCGCCGGCCCCCGGCTGCCTGCGGACGTCCTCCTTCAGTCATGAACCCCCCGGAGGGGGCAGCGGAGGAAGGAGGAGCAGCCGACTCGGACGTGGACGCCTTTTTCCGGACAGGTAGGCTGGGCAGGGCGCGGGCGGCCGGGGGGCAGGGCCGCTCCCCGGGACGCGGTGTCTCGGACAAGTTTGGGAAAGGAGGGCTGTTGCTGGGGTGTGCGTGTTGGGGGGCTGTCCCCCCTCGTCGTCCGGGCTGGAGTTGCCGAGGTTCTTGTTGTTATGGCAATGCTGGTAGCGTTTTGGGGACGGGTGGGGGCTGGGAGCTCGGCGCCCCTCCGCGTTCACCCCACTTGCGGGAGTCTGTATGGTGGGAGGCGGGAGGCGGTCCCCTCGGCCGCCTTCTCTCGGAGCGCGAGGATGGGGCGATGTTGGATTACTTTGCAGCGAGCGTGCCGCTCCAGCTACCCGCGTTCCCGGCCCCTCCCTCGCCGCCCCCCACCCCCCTGGCTCCGGCCGCCCTGGGCTGGCAACCCTTCTCGGGCCAGGGGCCCGGCGCCCTGGTGTGCAGTGAGGGAGGGGGGGCTGTGGGGACCTGGAGTCACGCAGGCTGCAGACTGACAGGAGTGGGGCGGACCCAGGACGGTCATGCAGGGTGCGTGTGGGGAGCCAGCGGCTCCGACTTGAGAGGCAGACGCGCTGGGAGGGCGGTGGGCGCCTCGGACCTCCTCCTTGTCCTCCTCTTCTATACTTCTGGGAACGGATGAGCTTTTCATAAGAATCACTCATTCCTGGAAGTGTGACTTAGCGTCCCCCTCACACACCCACCCACTGAATCTTTGCTTGCCTGTAGTTTGTAGAGCCCCCAGATCTGTCTTTCCAGCTGTTTGCAGCCTACCCACCTCCCATCCCCCAGATCTGTAGCTGCTTCTGTTCCCGGACTACACAGCCTCTTCCTCAGAACAGATAGGACCATCTTCATCTCCCACCACCTGTGGCCCTGTTTCTCTGATGGCCAGGGATTCCCCCATCTCCTTTTACCTGTGGCTTGCACCAACTCGGTAGGTAGAGCTCCCCATCTCACTTGTCTGGAACCATTTTGTCTGGAATCTTTGTCCCAAGGAATCCAAAGAGTTACGGGGCCCCTGAGCTTCTACCCTCTTTTTTGGCAAGTTCGATTAGAGGACGTGAACTGGAGGGGTCAGGGATCAGTTTAGCTCTGAAGGCTCCCTCTCTGCACATCCATCTGTTTCCTAACCTCATTGCCTTGCCTGGAGGTCATCTCTAGGGAAGCCCCTGGGTGGAGTGCTTTGTTGGGGAGGCTTGTGGCTTTAGAAGTCAGACTTGATTGGCCCATATGTTCGTTTTTTAGTGGGTCTGGAAAGGCAAACACTGGAGGACAGGCGCTGATGCCAGGACCTGGAGAAAGCGGAGGGAGCCCGTTACCCTGCCCTGCGTCCCAGGACTCAGTCTTGCCTTCCTCCCTCCTTCCTTTTCCTCAGATGTGGATTCTGCATACACATTCTAGCTTTCCCTCTCTGTCTCTGTGACACACGCATACCCTGGAACTCAGAGCATGGATTCTAAAGTGAGTGTGGGGAGCCAGCATCTCAGACTTGACCTGGGTTTATAACCTGCCATCTAGGATAGAGTTTTGGGGGCCAAGTGATACCTGGAAACATTTACCAGAAGGTCTTCCTGACCCCTCTTGCTTCCCATCTGGGTCAAAAGGCTGCCTTTTCTTAGCTCTGGGGAAAACTCTAGAAGTGGGAGCTTTCCCACTTTCTCTTTTTGGACCCCACTTTCATCTTTTGGCCTCCACTTCTCCTTCCCCTTCCCTATCATCCAAACACTTAGTTCCTGTCCATTTTCTGTCCCAGTCTTTGGGAGTAGAGCTCACTTGCTGGAGGCTTGCTAATTTCTGACAAATGAATTCACACAGTGTTAATGGTGTTAATGGCCTATAATGGTCCAATGTGTTACTTTTCCCAGGGCTTTTCAAAACACAATGTGGGGCTTACATTGTGTAGCCCTGGTTCAAATCGCAGAGTAAATAGCAGACTCCGGTGGGACTCCTGTTGGGGGTATTCTTCTTCCTCAGGCAACCTTGTTGAAGAGGGCTAGGTCTGATGTGCACTTAGAATCAGAGAAAAATGAAATCCTCAATGCATAAGGCTGGAAATGACTGATAAACCATAACAAGTTGCAAGAGGGAGTGCAGGCTCTTGGTGGTCCTCAGCTGAACCACCATCCAATCTGCGTGGCCCTCTGTGCTCGGCTCTCTGACCCCCTTCTATTCTCTAGCCTGGGCTCTCATGGGGGATTCTTAAACCTGGAAAAGACCCCATTTCTTAACCTTCTCCCTTCTGATTTCCCTCTCTCTGGAACACAGCAGTACACCTGGTAGGCTGGGCTTCATGAATTTATTCAATTGAACAATTCTGAAACCTTCAAACAAATTCTCAAAGTTTGTAGTGCCAGGGTTACCGCCTTCTTTCTGGTGGAAAATTTTGCATGCACAAAGATCAGACTGGCATTTGCTTTGTCAAAACCTTGGCATACTGTGTCTCTAATTAGGCATGCTTCAAATAATTTTGTTGTTTTGGGTCCTTACTTTTCATCTCATTATTTTGGTATTTTCGTTCTCTTGACCAACTGATTAAGCTATATTTTCTAAATCTTACTTCCCTCTGTGCCCATGGACACACACACACACACACACACACACACACACACACACACACTCCACTATTCTTATAGATTGGTGGATTCCATATCATCTTTCTGGGAATTCTCTGTTCCAAGCTTGGGAAAGTGTGTCTCAATAATTTTATTGATCGTGGTTATGAGGCAGAGAAGGGGAAATATGGGAACTCAGAACTGGGGCTATGAACCAGTTGGAATATAAAACCAACAAGCACTTTTCAGCTCCTACCAGGAGCTTTCTGCTGTCCAGGATGCTGTGGAATGCAAACGAAATATTTAAACTGGTCTCTGCCCTTGAAGAACTTTTAGAAGAAGATTGACAGTTACTGTTCAGAGATTAATTAATTGCTAAACCTTATGGTGCTACAAGATAAAAAGTTGACAGAACTGCCGAGGAGTGGAACCCAGGGTTGTCCTTGAAGGGGGCGTGGGGACGGGGAATGGGAGGAGCAGTGTGGGCAAAGGCACAGCGAGGTTGGAACATTGACTTCGGGGTGACTGAATGGACGGTGTAGGCTGGGGAGGAATGGGACACAGGATTGGGGAAGTAGGGCAGGGCCAGATAGGGAGCCCAAGAGGAGTTTGGATTTGATTCAGGGTCAGTAGGGAGTCACTTTAGGTTCTTGAGCAAGGGCATATCCTGGAGAAAGTGGTATTTGGAAAGGTTAATCTGGGGGTACTATGACTGATCAAGTGGAGAGGAGAGAGAAAGCATCCAGAGAGAGGCAAAAGTGAGCCATCGCTGAGGGAGAGGGGCTTAGTGTGGGTTGGTGGCAGAAAGGATGGGGAGTCAGTGGCAACACTGAGAAACATTTTCAAAAGTGGCAATGTGGGGATTTGTTGACAAACTAGTTATAGGGGGAAAAGAAAACTAATCCTATGAGGAAACAGAAGTAGCTTGGTTGAGAGTATAGATGGATTGACAGTGCCCTGACTGACATAGTCTGATTACAGACCGGAGCCGGTTTTGCAGGTAGTGATGTTAGCTTCAGATGTGGAGAATTGGAGGTGATTGAGGGACGCCCAGGTGGAGTTGTTTGTGGGAAATGTGGGACTCAAGACAGGAGGTTCAGATTTGCAGTGTGAACTTGGAAGCCTTCTGCATCAAGACTGGAAGCAGCTGAAGCTATGTGAACGCATTGGCTCTCAGGGAGAGGGGGATGGAGGAAAGCGGGGAAGGGCTCAAGGTAGAATTTGGGGGCGAAGCCCTTATTTAGGAAGGGGCAGCAAAGGAGACTTGGCCCTGGAGACTCCAGGGAGTCAGCGTGGGTTCTGATGTGATGACAGGGGCAGAGACAGATTGAGCCGGAAGAGCACAGGTTAGGTGTCACTGGATGTGATAAAAAGAAGGCCACTGGGAGCTGTTGGGAGCCCAGTATCAGAAGAGGCATTCAGAATAGGGATTTTGGGTGGTGGAGAGGGAGCTGTTACCTGTAGAGTTTATCAGTGAACGAATAAAGAGGTTGGGTGCTAGTCAGAAGGGATGTTAGTATCAAGAAAAATAGTTTTGTGTGTGTGTTTGTGTGTGTGTGTGTGTGTGTGTGTGTGTGTGTGTGTGTGTTGGGTCAGAGAGTCAGAACAGGTTTGGAGGTGGAAGGGAGAAAGCTGCAGACTGGAAAAACTGAAGATGCAAGATTGACTGTTGAGTTAGATACCTGAAGAGGTGAGATAAGACTAGGCTCTCTAATAAAGCAAGAGCTTAGCTTTGGTGACAGAGGAGAAACCACTTTCTTTAAGGTTCAAAGGAAAAAAATTAAGAGGACAAATGAAAAGAGATTGATGTGGAAATATCCTCTACCCCCATCTTTCTGTTGAGCCTTGTCCTGTGAGTCCAGACATTTTCAACTGGAGTGTTTGCTGTTACTTGGACCCCTGTCAGCCTCAGACTCCACTCTGTATGTCTTTTCAGCTCTCCAGACTAGCTCCTGCTCTTGTCTTCCTTAGTTCTTCTGTAAGTGGCATCTTCCCTTTCCCAGTCATGGTATTTAAAACCTTGGTATTGTGTGTGAGGACTCTCTCCTCTAACAAATCCTATTGAATTATCTTTTGTAGTCAGTCCTTGTTGTTCATCCGCAGGGCCTCTGCCCTAGGCCAGGACCCAGCTTACCGCTCATGGATGACTTTAGTAGCTCTCATTCTTGTCCCTTAGGATCTGCTCTCTCACCCCAGCTCCAAATCCGTACCTGCAGGCAAATTGCACTTCACAAAGTAGATTGCACTAATTTCATCATACCAGTACCTAGCCTATGGATGGACAGTGACTCCCAAGTGCCTTCATGGTCAAGTCCACACTTCACAGCTCAGCTCCAGCCTGACTGCTCTTCTTACTGTCCAAGGGCACCTTGACTCACTTTCTCCTTGAATCATCCCTGGCATCCCCACTTTCCAAAATCCAACTCATTCTTCAAGACTTGAGC